AGGGGAGCAGGGTGTGAGTGAGGGAGGGGGGCAGGGTGTAGTGAGAAAGGGAGGGTGTGAGGGAGGGAGCAGAGTGTAGTGAGGGGGGGAGAAGGTGTAGTGAGAGAGGGGAAGGGGTGTAGTGGAGAAAAGAGAAGGGGTGTAGGGGGGGAGGGAGCAGGGTGTAGTGAGGGAGGGAGAATGGTGTAGTGAGGGAGGGAGAAGGGTGTAGTGAGGGGAGGGAGCAGGGTGTAGTGAGGGAGGGAGCAGGGTGTAGTGAGGAGGGAGCAGGGTGTGAGGAGGAGGAGCAGGTGTGTAGGGGAGAGGGAGGGCAGGGTGTAGTGAGGGAGGGAGCTGGGTGTGAGTGAGGGAGGGGCAGGGTGTAGTGAGGGAGAGAAGGGTGTAGTGGGGAGGGCAGCGTGTAGGGAGGGGAGGGAGCAGGGGTGTAGTGAGGGGAGAGAGCAGGGTGTGAGGAGGGAGGAGGGTGTAGGGAGGGAGGGAGCAGGGTGTAGTGAGGGAGGGAGCAGGGTGTAGTGATGGAGGAGAAGGGTGTAGTGAGAGGGGAGCAGGGTGTAGTGAGGGAGGGAGCAGGGTGTAGTGAGGAGGGCTGGGTGTAGTGAGGGAGGAGAGTGTAGTGAGGGAGGAGAAAGGGTGTAGTGAGGGAGAGAGCAGGGTGTAGTGAGGGGGAGGAGAAGGGTATAGTGAGAGAGGGAGAAAGGATGTAGTGAGGGAGGGAGCAGGGTATAGTGAGGGAGGGTTGAGGAGTGTAGTGAGGAGGGAGAAAGGGGTGTAGTGAGGGAGATTGAGGCAGAGGGAGGGTGTAGGGGTAGGGAGCAGGGCGTAGTGAGGGAGGGAGGGAGGAGGGAGGGATTGAGGGAGGGAGGAAGGAGTAGAGAAGGAGAGAGAGGGAGGGAGGGAGGGAGGAGGGAGGGATTGAGGGAGGGAGTGAGTGAGGGGAGGGAGGGTGTAGGGGGCAGGAGCAGGGTGTAGTGAGGGAGAGAGTGAGGCGGAGAGGGAGCAGGGTGTGAAGTGAGGGAGAGAGGGAGGAGGGGTGGTGAGAGAGAGAGGGGGTGTAGTGAGGGAGGGAGTGAGGGAGAGAGGGGGTGTGGGGGAGGGAGCAGGGTGCAATGAGAGGGGAGGGAGAAGGGGTGTGTAGTGAGGGAAAAAAGGAGGGTGTAGTGAGGGAGAAGGGTGTAGTGAGGGAGAGAGAGGAGGGATGTAATGAGGGAGGGAGGAGGGTGCAGTGAGGGAAGGGAGTAGGGGTGTAGTGAGGGAGGGGGAGGGAGGGAGGGGAGGGAGGGAGGAGGGGTGGGAGTGGGGTGTAGTGAGGGAGGGAGGAAGGTGTAGTGAGGGAGGGATGAGAGTGTAGTAAGGGGAGGGAGGGAGGGGAGGGAGGGGAGGGAGGAGGACAGTGCAGTGAGGGAGGGAGAGAAGGGGGGAAGGAGGGAGGGTGGTGGGGGGGAGGGAGGGAGGAATGGGAGGGAGTGGGGTGTAGTGAGGGAGGGAGGGGGTGTAGTGAGGAAGGGAGGAGGTTGTAGTGAGGGAGGGATGAGAGGTAGTGAGGGAGGGAGGAGGGAGGAGGGGAGGAGGGAGGAGGGATGTAGGTGAGTGAGGAGGGAGGAGGGAAAAGAGTGAGGGAGGGAGGAGAGAGAGAAGGAGGGAAGGAGGGAGGGAGGGAGGGAGAGATGGGGGGAGGAGGGTGTGAAGTGAGGGGAGGGAGGAGGGAGAGTGGGGGAGGGGGAGGGAGGGAGAGAGGGAGGGAAGGAGGGGTGTGAAAGTGAGGGAGGGGGAGGGAGGGAGGAGGGAGGAGGAGGAGGGAAGGAGGGTGTAGTGAGGGAGGGAGGGTGTAGTGAGGGAGGGAGGGAGGGAGAGAGGGAGGGAAGGAGGGGTGTAGTGAGGGAGGGAGGGGGAGGGAGGGAGAGAGAGGGTAGGGAAGGAGGGTGTAGTGGCGGGAGGGAGGAGGAGGAGAAGTGGGGAGGGAGGGAGGGAGAGAGATGGAGGGAGGAGGAGGTTGTAGTGAGGGAGGGAGGGGAGGGGAGGGGGAGAGAGGGAGGGAGGAGGGAGGAGAGAGGGGGAGGAGGGGAGGGAAGGAGGGTGTAGTGAGGGAGGGAGGGGGGGAGGGGAGGAGGGAGGAGAGGAGGGAAGGAGGGTGTAGTGAGGAGGGAGGAGGGAGGGTGTAGTGAGGGAGGAGGGGAGAGGGAGGGGAAGGAGGGTGTAGTGAGGCCATGAATAATCAACACACTCTCCTACTCCGCTGCTGAATTTTTGAATTAGAATTTTGAATTAGGTTTCGTGGGAGAGTGAGTGAGAGAGTGAGAAAGTGAGTCAGCGTGAGAGTGAGTGAGTGAGAGAAGAGAGAAGGGTGTCTGTGGTGTGTGTGTGTGTGTGTGTGTGTGTGTGTGTGTGCTCTATATATTTAGCCTGACCCTCCTCTTCCCGTCTCTCTCCCTCTCTTTCTCTTCCTCATTGCTCTCTGCCTTTCTCCTTCCCTCTCTTTCTCTCCCAGTGTTTACTCCTCCCCACCCCCTTGAATGATAAACGCTTGCTTGCCTCTCTCTATCTCTGGCTGTCTATCTTTCTTTCTTTTTATTTATCTCTTTGTCATTCTCTCTCTCTTTATTTTATTTTGTTAATTTCTCTCTCTTGTTCTTTCTTTCATTCTGACTGACTCTCTTTCTCTCTCTCTTATCGAGTTCTCCCAGTGCTGACCTGTCTTAACCTTTCCTGATATTCTGAACCAGACAGTGGATATCTGCCCTCGGCGTGACCCCAGCTTGACCCCATAACCACTAGTAATGTGATCCCAGCCTGATCCCATAAAAAACTAGTAATGCGACCACAGCCTGACCCCATAACCACTAGCAATGCGACCCCAGCCTGACCCCATAACCACTAGTAATGTGACCCCAGCCTGACCCCCACACTAGCAATGTGACACCCTGACCCAATACCATTACCCTACGGGGCGCTGGTGGTAGAAGCGGTACCGTTCTTGCCTCGCAAGTGAGATGTCACGGGTTCGATTCCCGGGCCGGTGGAAGTTGTTTGGACTTACTTCCTAGTAGTCCCTGTTCACCTAGCAGTAAAGTAGGTACCTGTTGTAAGTCAGAAGTTGCGAATTCGTATTCAGGAGTTGTTGGAGCTTCCAATAACTTGATGACATACACCATTGACTCTTCAGGCTTCTACCCTTAACTCATGAGACATAAAGGCAAGCATGAACTTAGCATGCTTCCCTGTTGGGCGCTGTAACACTTCTGCCTTCACCTTACAGGATGTAGGGGGTGCCCAATAAATTAATAAAAAAAAATACCATTACCCTGACCGCAGTACCACTTCCGTGACCCCAATACCCTGACCCCAGTACCACTACTGTTGCCACTACCATGACCCCCGTACCTCTATCATGACCCCAGCTTGACCCCAGTGGCAGCAGGAGTGACAAGCGCCTCACCTCTCCTGGTCGATGCCAAGGTAACATTAATACTGTGAATTATTAATATAAGCAGTTTGTACCTTACTACGGCAGCTTAACATGTGGTGGTGTTGGTGGTGATAGTGGTGGTGTTAATAGTAATGGTGGTGGTGGTGGTGATAGTGGTGGTATTTGTGGTAATGGTGGTGGTGATAGTGGTGGTGTTAATAGTAATGGTGGTGGTGGTGATAGAAATGGTGAAGATGGTGGTGATAGTGGTGGTGGTGGTGATAGTGGTGGTGGTGTTAATAGTAATGGTGGTAGTGTTAGTAGTAATGGTGGTGGTGATGTGGTTGTGGTGGTGATAGTTATGGTGGTGGTGTTTGTAGTAATGGTGGTGGTGATGGTGGTGGCGTTGGTGTTTGCAGTGTGGTGGTGGTGATAGTGGTGGTGGTGATGGTTATGGTGGTGGTGTTTGTAGTAATGGCGGTGGTGGTAGTGGTGGTGGTGGTGATAGTAATGGTGAAGGTGGTGGTGATGAGTAATGGTGGTGGTGATGGTGGTGGTGGTGATGAGTGGTGAGTGGTGGGTGATGAGGTGGTGGTGGTGGTGAGGGTGGTGATGAGTGGTGGTGGTGGAGGTGATGGTGGTGGTGGTGATGGTGGTGGTGGTATTAGTGGTGGTGGGATTATTGAGTGATGGTGGTGGTGATGGTGGTGGTGATGAGGTGATGGTGGTGGAGTGGTGGTGGTGGGTGGGTGATGGTGGTGGTGGTGGTGGTGGAGTGGTAATGGGTGGTGGTGTTTGTGATGTGGTGGTGTGATGGTGGTGGTGGTGGTGATGGTAAAGTGGTGGTGGTGAGTAGTAAGTGGTGGTGGTGATGGTGGTGGTGGTGGTGATGGTGGTGGTGATGGTGGTGGTGGTGGTGATAGTGGTGGTGGGGGTGATGAGGTGGTGGTTTGTGGTGGTGATGGTGGTGGGGTGGGGTGGGTGGTGGTGAGTGGTGGGTGATGGTGGTGGTGGTGATAGTGGTGGTGGTATTGGTGGTGGTGGGTGTTGGTGATGGTGGTGATAGTAGTTGGTTGGTGGTGATGGTGGTGGGGTGATGGTGGTGGTGGTGATAGTGGTGGTGGTGGTGGTGGTGGTGGTGGTGTGGTGAGGTGGTTGGTGGTGGTGAGGTTGGGGTGAGTGGGGTGGTGAGGTGGTGGTGGTGGTGGGGTGATGGTGGTGGTGGTGGTGTTGGTGATGGTTGGTTGGTGGTTGGTTGGTGGTGATAGTGTGGTGAAGTTGGGGTGTGGTGGTGGTGAAGTTGGTGGGTGTGGTTGTGATGGTTGGTGGTTGGTGGTGGTTGTTTGTGGTGGTGGTTGGTTGGTGTGGTGTGGCAGTTGGTGGTAGTGGTAGTAGTGGTGGTACTCTTGTTATTGCGGTACAAATGCGGTATTAATGGGCCAGATGGTATTCTACTATTATTGATACCATTGTCTTTGGTACCGATAGCACCTTTTGCTTTCCATATTGGTATTATTTATATATTTACCGGTTGTAGATACTGTAATGGTATTGAGTTGGTGGTACTATTGGTATTCTGGGAGTGTTGGTACCGTTGTCAAATTCGGTTCTGTAATACCATTGACATATCTCGTATTATTGGTATTTCTTGGTACTTCCAGCCTATTATGGCATTGGTACTATCATACACCATACCACTGTGGTACTTTATCCTCCTGGGACTTATTGATACTCTCTGGTACTCCCTGATACTTCTTGGGTACTTCCTGATACTTCCCGGTACTCTCTGGTACTTCCTGGTACTCCTTGATGCTTCCTGGTTCTTCCTGATACATCCAGTACTCTCTGGTACTCCCTTATACTTCCTGGTACCCCCTGATACTTCCCGGTACTCTCTGATACTCTCTGGTACTCCCTGATACTTCCTGGTACTTCTCGGTACTCTCTGATACTTCCTGGTACTCCCTTGTACTCTCTGGTACTCCCTGACACTCCCTGATACTCCCAGGCACTTCCTCTAGTTCGTAATGGTTCACAACAACAGGTGAACAATGGACAGGTGTAACAGCCACTTGGGCCTTCTCACCTGTACAGTAAATTGTCCTTTGTTGATGGAGGATCGATCATATCACCTGTTGTGTGCACTACACTAGTTGGAAGGAGTGTATAATCGGGGTATATCACACTCGCTATAATCGGTGGTCTTATCGGGTTGGGTCGGCTATTGATGTAGTGTAATCGGGGTATATTTCACACTCGCTATATCGGTAATGTTATGGGAATATGTCGAGTATACTATGCTAATATTGACGTCGGGTAAACGGGATATGTTACATTCGTTATAGCAGTGAGGTTATCGGGTATACTTTGTTGAGGTCGTGTAGATCGGCAGTGCTGTCGGGTATGTTGGGCATACAATACCGACGTCGGGTATGTTGGGCATACAAAACCGACGTCGGGCAAGAACATATCGGTTACGTTATCGGTATTATCGGACCACAGTACTGGATTCAGATCAAGCTGTCAGAACGTGCATGTGTGTGGTGGTGACCTGTAGTGTAATTGTCAGCATGCTCACCTCGCAAGCGAGTGGACCCGGGTTCGATCCCCGGGCAGGGTGAAACTATGAGCAAGTTTCTTTACGCCATTTGCCTCTGTCTGCAGTAGTAATTGGGAACCTGGATATTAATCGATTTGCGGATCGTATTCTGGGGTAATGGTTAGCCAGTGCAGTTCGCGAGCTGTCCGGTTTTCTCAGACTATTCCTTGACACTGGGTCATGCAGCTCGTTAACTCAGGGTGTGGTTGTTGTGTTGGCGACAGCTTCTACCTAAACAAATCCACGCCTAGATGGCCCTAGGGCCGGCCATCCTCGTACACGAGGAGCAACCATTATTTATTATGTGTGTGTGTGAGATCGGTTGTGTGTACGGCTGTGTATGTGTATAGCTGTGTGTGTGTGCGTGTGTACGGCTGTGTATGTGTATGACTCTGTATGTGATCGGCTGTGTGTATGTGTGTGTGTATGGCCGTGTCAACAGTTCGTTAGGGAAGAAGGGAGCAAACAGGCGCCCTACTGACATATGGGAGAGAGAGAGATAAACACAAACAACAGGAGAGAGAGAGATGGTCCACCAATCATCATTATCTCCCCCTGACATGACCCGACGTGTCGTGACGTCACCTACTAACCATGTAAACAAAGCTGTGTTTGTTTTGAACTTTCTCGCGCAAAATCGTAATGCAGTTTTTCCGTGATTGTTGGACGATAATGGCGGCGGTGTGTTGGGGCAAAAATTTACATGGGAATAGAGTGTTTTTTTGTGGTGTATATAGGAGTATTATAGCAATATGCTGGGGTTTTTCAAGGTGTGTTTTCAGTTGTTGTTTTTCTGTTTGTATGTTTGTCATGATTGTTTTGTGCTATATGCTTACATGTTTGTTTTTTCATGGGTATGTCTTCTCTCTGTCTCTCTCTCGCTTGAGTTCCTGCAACACACCTCTCTCTCTCTCTCTCTCTCTCTCTCTCTCTCTCTCTCTCTCTCGAGTTCCCCCGCCACAACTCTCTCCAATTTCTCCTCTGCCTCCTCTTCCTCATCACCGGCAAGTCATTCCATCTAGGCAAGCTCTTGCCCTTCCTCTCTCTCTCTCCTCTCTCTCTCTCTCTCTCTCTCTCTCTCTCTCTCTCTCTCTCTCTCCTTAGCTCTATCCACCTCCTTCCTCTTCCCCCTCTCTTCACCTCCTCCCCCTCCCCAGTCTCTCTCTCTCCCCCTCATTTCCTTCCTCCTTCTCCTTCCCTCCCTCCCTCCTCTCTCTTCACCTCCTTTTCCTTCCTCCTTCTCTCTGTCTCCCCTCCTTCCTCCCCCCTCTCCCACCTCCTTCCCTCCCCTCTCTCTCCCTCCCTTCCTTCCCCCCTCTCTCCACCTCCTCCCTCCTCCCCCTCTCTCTTACCTCCTTCCCCCCTCTCTCCTCTCTTCCCTCCTTCTCTTTCTCTGTTCTCGTCTGAATCCTCGGTGCTTTTAGCATTCTCCTCCCTCTCCCAATTCTCTCCCCTCCCCCCCCCACCCCACCCCCTTCCAGACAGGCTCTCCACTCACCCCTTCCCTCCTCCCCTCCTCCCAAGACTCTATCCTTCCGCCTCTCCCTACCCACCAGGTTTCCTCCTCCTGTCCCTCCCTCCCTTCCCTCCTATTCCTCCTCCTCTGTTCCTTCCTCCTCCCATCCGTCCAGTCCCTCTCCTCCCTCCCCCACCTCCCAGGCTGGCTCTCCCCTCCCTCCCCTACTCATCTTCCATTCCTCGCTCCCTCCCCTAACCCTTCCCCTCCCCTCCCTCTCTCCCTACCCCCACCCATCTTTCCTCCCTTCCCCTCCACCTCCTACTCTTCCCCTCCTGCCCTCCTTCCCTCACCCTCTTCCCCTCCTCCCATTACCACTCTCCCCTCTCCTTCCCTCTCCTCTTCCCCTCCCTCCCCTCTCCCCCTCTTCCCATCACCCTCTTTCCCTCCTCCCCTCACCCTCTTCCCTCCTACTCTTCCCTTCCTTCCCTCCCCACTCTCCCCCTCCTTCCCTCCTCCTCTTCCCCTCCTCCAGTCACCACTCTCCCCTCTTCCCGTCACCCTCTTCCCCTCCTCCCCTCACCCTCTTCCCTCCCTACTCTTCCTTCCTCCCCTCACCCTCTCCCTCCTCCTTCCCTCCACCCTCTTCCCTCCTCCCCTCACCCTCTCCCCCTCCTTCCCTCCCCACTCTCCCCTCGTCCCCTCACCCTCTTCCCTCCCTTCCCATCACCCTCTTCCCCTCACCACTCTTCCCTCACCACTCTTCCTTCCTTCCCTCACCATTCTTCCTTCCTTCCTCACACTCTTCCCCCTCCTCCCCTCTCTTCCCTCCACCCATCACCTCTTCCCCTCCTCCCCTCACCCTCCTCCCTATTCCCCTCACCACTCACCCCTCCTTCCCTCTTCCCTCTTCCCCTCCTCCCTTCACCACTTTTCCCATCCTTCCTTCACCCTCTTCCCCTCCTCCCGTCACCCTCTTCCCCTCCTCCCCTCCCTGGCTTCCCTCCTCCCCTCTCCTCTTCCTCCTCCCCTCACCCTCTTCCCTCCTCCCCCACCCCTCTTCCCCTCCTCCCCTCCACCTCTTCCCTCTCCCTCACAAGCTTCCCCTCCTCCCTCCCACTCTTCCCTCCTCCCCTCACCCTCTCCCCCTCACCCACTCTTCCCCTCACCCTCTTCCCTCCTCCCCTCACCCCACTCTTCTCCCTCTCCCTCTTCCCTCCATCCCTCCCCTCTTCCCCTCCTCCTCTCCCCTCTTCCCCTCCTTCATCACCCTCTTCCCCTTCTTCCTCATCACTCTTCCCCTCCTTCCTTCCTCTTCCCCTCCTCCCCTCACCACTCTTCCCTCCCCCTCACCCTCTTCCCCTCCTTCCGTCACCACTCTTCCCTGTTTCCACTCCCTCTTCCCATCTCCCCTCTTCCCCTCCTCCCCTCACCCTCTTCCATCCTCCCATCTTCCTCTTTCCCCTCACCACTCTTCCCTTCCTTCCTCACCATTCTTCCCTTCCTTCCCTCACCCTCTTCCCATCCTCCCTCACCCTCTTTCCCTCACCCTCTTCCCTTCCTTCCCTCCCCACCACTCTTCCCTTCTTTCCCTCACCCTCTTCCCTTCCTCCCCTCACCACTTCCCATCCTCCTCCTTCCTCTTTCCCTCCCCACCTCTTCCCTTCCTTCCCTCACCATTCTTACCCTCACCACTCTTCCCCTCCTCCCCTCACCCTCCCTCCTCCTCCCGTCCTCCACTCTTTCCCTCACCATTCTTCCCCTCCTCCCTACCCTCTCCTCCTCCTTCCCTCCACCACTCTTCCCCTCCTCCTCTCCCACTCTTCCCCCTCCTCCCCTCCTCTTCCCCTCCCTCTGTCACCCTCTTCCTCCCTCCCCTCACCCTCTTCCCCTCCTTCCTTCACCCTCTTCCCCTTCTTCCCTCATCTCTCTTACCCCTCCTCCCGTCACCCTCTTCCCATCCTCCATCTTCCTCTTCCCCTCCTCCTCCCTCTTTCCTCTTCCCCTCCTCCATCACCCTCTTCCCCTCCTCCCCTCACCACTCTTCCCCTCCTTCCTTCCTCTTCCCTCCTTCTCTCACCCTCTTCCCCCTCTCCCCCTCTCTTCCCCTCCTCCCCTCACCTCTCCCCCCCTCCCCTCACCCTCTTCCCCTCCTCCCATTCCCTCCCCTACCCCCTCTCCCACTCTTCCCCTCCTCCCTCACCACTCTCCCCCTCCCTCTCTTCCCTTCCTCCCCTCTCTCCTCTCCTTCCCTCACACTCTTCCCCTCCTCCCTCTCACCCTCTTCCCCTCCTTCCCGTCACCCTCTTCCCCTCCTCACCCACTCTTCCCTCCTCCCCCTCTTCCCACTCTTCCCTCCTTCCTTCCCCACCCTCTTCCCCTCCTCCCCTCCCACCCCTCTTCCCTCCTCCCCTCACCCTCTTCCCCTCCTCCCGTCTCACCCCTCCTCCCCTCACCCCACTCTTCATCCTCCGTCACCTCTTTCCCCTCACCACTCTTCCCTTCCTTCCCTCACCATTCTTCCCCTTCCCTCACCCTCTTCATCCTCCGTCACCCTCTTTCCCCTCTTCCCTCTTCCTTCTTCCCTCACCACTCTTCCCATCCTCCCGTCACCCTCTTTCCCTCACCACTCTTCCTTCCTTACCTCCCCACCACTCTTCCTTCCTTTCCACCCTCCTCCTTCCTTCCCTGCCTCTTCCCATCCTCCCGTCTCCTCTTCCCTCACCACTCTTCCCTTCCTTCCCCTCCTCTCCCTTCTCCCCTCACCCTCTTCCCATCCTCCCGTCACCCTCTTTCCCTCACCACTCTTCCTTCCTTCCCTCACCATTCTTCCCTTTCTTCCCTCTCCTCTCCCTCACCTCTTCCCTCCTCCCCTCACCATTCCTCCATCCTCCGTCACCTCTTTCCCCTCTTCCACTCTTCCTTCCTTCCTCCTCCTCTTCCCTCCTCCCCTCACCACTCT